CGGTTAAATTCTGTGTTTTAATAATTTCCAAAAAATTTTCTCGAAAGTCCACAAATTGGGTGTCTACGGACTCGGCTCGTCACGCTGAGTAACACATGTCAGCCCCAGCCTTCTGAGTCGCTCCCTTCCGAAGGGCCGCCATGGGTCATCTCTCATATGCTGAGGTGCCACGGGGGGGGCGCCGGCGCTCCCTTCCGAAGGGCCGCCATGGGTCATCTCTCATATGCTGAGGTGCCACAGCTTTTCATGTAATCACATTGTTGACAATAACAAAAATACAGAACATCGCCAGCACCATCCTTTAACCTGTTGTGTTTGTGTGTGAGGGGTTCACTATAACCAATGATGTGTCATCAAGGATAAAATCAAAATGATATAGCTTTATAAAAGTCGCTGCTGCAGGGTGGTCGACCAAAAACAATCTCTAAGTCCAACAAAGTGGCTGTTTGTACAGTCCCCTCTTCTTCACTCTGCCTTCTTGTCCTTGACGACGGGTCCGCGCAGAGCCGTCTGAACGCTGCTCCACACCTCCGTGTACAGCAGAGTGCCCAGGAAGACCACAGCCGTGCCCACCCAGTGCCAGGTAGTGAAGGGGTTTTGGAAGTAAAGGATGGAGAAGATGAGGCTGAGGAACTTTCTCAGCGTCACCACCAGAGTGACGGTCAGCGAGGCGCACTCTGTGGTCAGAATGAAAACACCGCGGATGCACACGTACCTGAAGAAACTGGTTAAAGTCTAACACTCATTATTACTTTGTTAGTGGCATATTTACAAGTATGTTGATTTCTTCATGTATTATTGTGATGGTTTGTGTGTGTGTGTGTGTTTGTAGTGTATGAAACCATTTATAAAGAGAAAACAAATCATCTTGTGACCCTTTGTGGACATTAAGAACCACTGCAATAGACTAATAAGTGTTACTGTAGACAAATAAATATGAGCAGGTAATATCAGACTTTTTTTGGCAGGATACTGTGTGATGACATTGATCAGCAGGTAAAGCCACATTATCGGCATGGTGACTCCAACCACAGGAACGACTACAGGAGCTGAAAAGAGAAGATATTTATTCACATCAGTGAGCAAAGACACAAGGTCGCAAACATAAACCCACAAAGTTCCCTGAGTGAGTCGATGGAACTCACTGCTCTGACTGAAGAGGACACAGTGTTTGTAGATGTCTGTGGAGAGAAGCAGGAAGCCCGGCAGAGGCAGGCAGTGCTGAGAAAGACACGAGAGATGAAAAACATTATCTACATTCATCAGCTTAAATTAGAGGAATGTAAAACATGTGACTGAACAGTTATTCCCAAGACAGAAGCTCAAATGAAGCTTGAATTTCTCTGCGGTAGTTTAAATGTTTTGTTCAGAAGAAAACTCACATTATAGAAGAGAGCCTCTTTGGAGTGTTTTCCATAACTCTTGTACAGCATCTCCTGGAAAATGCCCATCCTCGCAGACATCAGCAGAGCAAAGGTCAACATGGCGATACCTACAAAACAAAAATGAACAAGGAAAATAAAAAAGCTTTAATTTTACAACGTGCTGTTTATGTTGCTGATTCTTAGTATTAAATCCGCTTTATCCATCTATCACAGAGATCTACGGTATTTATTCAAATTTCATTTTCATTTATGTAAATGTAACTGCGTTGCCAAAAGACTAACTTTCAACTGTTGTACCTCGGCCAGGTGTGACTGTGAGCTGGAACAATTGGTTTGACGTGTCAATCGACAACCAAAATAAATTGGCAATAATTCTGATTTATGATTTATCAAGACAAATACCAAACATTCACTGGTACCAGCATCTATATTGTGCACATTCATTGAATTTTCTCTCTTTTATGACATATTAAATCCAAAATCTTTGTTGTTTGAAGAAGTCATCTTACCGACCCTCTGGTAAGTTATGATGGACATTTTCAACATTTTCTGGAAATTTACTGACTGAGCGATTAACTGGGTTATCAAAAACAACAAAACACATTGACTCTTCAATAGATAATGAAAATAATCACTAGTTGCAGCCCTAGAACAAAGAGTGTGGGACTGGAAACTCACCTACAAGCCAATGCATGAATGTATAAAATCCTTGTTCTTCTGATCCATCATTGGCCACATTCTGCAGAGACAAAACGACAAATCACAAAAAGCATAAAAAATATTATATATCAAGGTCAAGACTGTGTATATTCAGAGAGAAAATTGTCTTGAATTGAAGGATTATATTTTTGCATAACAACCAGCAACAATGTGTGGAAAATGTGACTTGTTCTGCTGAAGACTCACCACTTGTTTGGCAGACATGATGGTGCAGATGAAGATACCAGCTGACACTAAAGCTATAGACAGATATTTACTGGCCGAGTACCTGCCGAGAGAGAAGGTGGGATACAAATAACTGTATTAAATCTGCACGTGGATGCACTGTGATGGTGCAGACTAGAAAAGGGATGAAATGTTTGTTAGACGGAGATGTTTTGAGCTGTCAGAGGAGGCAGAGATACCTTTTCTTCAGGATGATTATTCCCAGGATCATGTTAGCGATTAGTGATCCCTGCAAAGACACAAGCAGCAGGTTACACCATGGAGATGGAGGGGATGGGTGGAGGTTGTTTGACAACAGGAAACATTTGAAAGAGAAGGTGAAAAGTAGGAAGTCGTACCGATCTGAAGATCATGTGCAGCGGCATGGCGATGTTGAAGTTGAGAGCGTAATTGTTGATCACACTGACTGTGAAGAACATCGTCACCATGATCACATAGTTACTGGAAAAAAGAGGCACAGGGGGTTTGTTTTAGTGTCTGTTCTATTCTGCATCAGGAAATTTAGGCTCCATCAGTGAGTTGAGTGTTTTCATTACCTGATAGGGATTGCTGGTTTCTTCCTCCCAAAGTTTGTTTCAAAGATGAATCCCTCTAATGCGATGAATACAAACTGAGCGAAGGTGACGATGTTGCCGCATCCTGGAAACTCTCTAAAGAGAGGCAAGAAAATAAAAACAGATGAGTACTGGCAATATGTTCATGTTTATTTATTCTCTTGTCTGTGGTATTTTTAAATATTGTAAATCACGACCCCTAATGTTGTTTTCTATATTAAAAAAATTACGATCTGAGATTTCTCTCTCAATAATTTATGAAAATATATAGGTTTTTTTCTTTTTAAAATAACCGACAGGTTGAGTGAAAGACCCATTTAAATTTTTGGTTGCTGTAATCTAGCATGTTTATACTTTCTACTGCTACCTGTTAAAATCTATGTCATTTTCCATATTAGAACAAACATTGTATTTTCAATAGAAGAAGGTTTTAAGATTATCCGATTGTTTTTCCTATTGCCCAGACCTAGATATTAGATATGCAGAGGTGGCGAGATAGATATCTTAGGAAAGAGTTATGACTGGTGTTTTTGATATTAACATAATGTAACAGTCAATCGACTAATCAATTGTTCAACTAATGATTTAGGCTCAAGTTTGAGTCATTTTATTTCTACTTTTATCTTACTTTTTACTTCTATTTTGTTTTATTCTATTTCAGTATTTATGTATCATTTTCATTATTGATCAATCTACAGATTATTTTCTCAATTATTTGATTACTCAATTGGTCTATAAAATGTAAGAAAACAGTGAAAAATGACCAGTACATTGTCTTAATGACATCATCAGATTACTTGTGTGTGTCCAAAACAAAAATACGTTCAATTAACACTGACATAACACTGAGAAAATTAGCAAATTCTCACACAGTAGAAGAAGGAACCAGATAATTTTTGGCATTTTTGCTTTAAAAAAAAAAAGATCAATTATCAGAACAGCGGCAGGGTAATTTACTGTTGATTGAGTAATCATTACAGCTCTACATGTATACACATACTTTATATGCCAACTTATTATTTTTCTATGTATATTGAGCACTTTGGGAACAAGAATGACCTTTAGGATAACTTATCCTCTGCTCTATTTTGTTTCATCAGGGAAACCTCAACACAAAGCATTAGGAGGAAAATGGCTTTTAAGCACACTCTAATGCCTCCTCCTTGTTTGTGTTGTGTGATAACTGTAGGCTTGTCTGTAACTTTTGCCTTTACACAGTCACTTTAGGAGAACACTTCATGAACATCACAAAAACAAAAAACAAAAACAAAACAAATATGTGAGCTACAAAGCTACTTAATAAGAGCTACATTAGCTCTAAAACTATCCCTTTCCACATGTGAAAACATGCTAATGCATCAAACCACAGTAACTACACTTAGTACTAAGATACAGTAACAAATGCTGCTGCAGAGGGACGTCAAAACAAAACTACGTAACAGCTGTGAGAACTTTTATGCAGTAACGTGGACCTGAGTACATTAGCATTCTGAAGTTTGTCACTGACCTTACAAGCAGCTCCAGAGACACCACATTGCTACAACATCCGACAAAAACAAGAAAAATGGCAAAAACTGTCCCCATGATGATTTACAGCTAAAAAAAACTCTGCAGAAAATATGTCACTTTATGTTTCTGATCGATACATATTTGCAAAAGAGCAGTGGTTTGGGTTTAGAGAAGGTCTCTTTTCTTCGACACAAACTCCTGTTTCAGTGTAACACGTCTGAATCTTAGATTGCGCTCTTCCTTACTCCCGGCGCTGATGGGAGTTGTAGTTCGCAAGGGTACGCAGTGTCCTTAACGTTCTCCGTATCTAAAACAACATTACGAATAAATTACGTATATTACTATTACTAAATGTTAGTGTAATATCTAAGAAAAAAACGAACAAATTGCCTAAATTAACGAGTTTCCAACGTAATCACTGCGCAATTGTGACGCACAGACGTTCGAAAGTGCATGCGTAAATCTTAAAGTCTTAAAAAGGTGAAGAGCGCTCACTCTGCCCGATTTACCGGATACCTCACAGAGGCAGATAGAGCAGTTAAATGGCTCTACACTGCTCATTCTGGGCAGCACCTCCAAAGCACTCACTGCTGTTTTTGCACCACACCAATAAATTAAATCACAACAGTTTTCTGTCAAAAAGAAACGCTCCATTCAATCATACTTAGATCCCGAATAACACGGACATAAGCATGACCAGAGGTCTCACGAAGTAGTTTACTATGGAATTTTAATAACACATGGTGATGCATATGGTGGTGTGACAGGCTCAACGCCCTGCCTATGAAATTTTAACCATCAAAACAACATGTATCTAAAGCTGTATGATAAACGTAGAAAACAATAGGAGTGTCAGGCCAGTAGAAAGACAGTTTTGTGTTTGATTAGGCGTAAATTGTAGACCAAACTCGGTTCCATAGACGATCTTTGGTGAAATACGTGTTTACGTGGCTCGGGAGGACTTGGCGTAACAAACCGCTAGCTTTGCCTTCACCGCTGCTGTAGTATCAACAGTTTGGTTAGCGCCAACATCAAAAGCAGCGGGTCTGATTCGTTACGAGCATCGTGTGATTTGATAAACTCTCCTGCTCCCGCCAAAATGATCTCACTCACGGATTCACAAAGTAAGTCCAGCTTGTGTTTCTTCGCTGTTCTTTGTCTTTTTAACATTACCATTTCTGTGTAGAGGCCGGTTCAGCTGAACGTGTGAAGCTGAAAGCTCAAACACTATTGGCTGAGAGCAACGTTACGTCACGCATCATTACGTCATTGCAAAGTATTTAAAATAAAGTGGTAATATTTTTATATTTTATGTTACATTTTTCTTTATTATTTGTTGTGTAGGCCAGTAGTTTTTAATCAGTTCATTTAATCAACTTCATCTTTTGGTTTCAGCTTTTCAAATGTGAAGATTTTCTGCTTGTTTTTTATTTTATTTTATTGTAAAATGAATGTCTTTTTTTTATTTTTTATTTCGGACTGTTTGTTGAACAAAATAAGAAATTTGAAGACATCCTTATGTCCTTATAGTTTTTTCTGTGCTGTTTGTTTTACCTCATTAGAGTCAGTTTCTCCATGGATGTTAAAACATTATTCCAATAATAGTGTATGACGATGTGTGATGTAACCTGTGCACATACTAACATCTCCTTTGTCTCTTAAAATATACAGAAATTGGGATGGGGCTGACAGGGTTCGGCGTGTTTTTCCTCTTTTTTGGAATGATGCTGTTTTTCGATAAAGCACTCCTCGCCATTGGAAATGTGAGTTGATCAGTGATGTCACCGCACTTTGAAAAATGTCCCTTTTATCCTCTGAAAGATGTCAGACTTGTGATGTTTTGTGTCTGTGCTTGTCATACAGATTCTGTTTGTCTCCGGTCTGTCCTTTGTCATCGGCCTGGAGCGTACGTTCAGATTTTTCTTCCAGAAACACAAAGTAAAAGCCACCAGTTTCTTCCTGGGGGGAGTTTTTGTGGTTTTGATTGGCTGGCCGATCATTGGAGTCGTTCTGGAGATCTACGGTTTCTTCCTCTTATTCAGGTTAGCTAAAACAGAAGGAACTCAAGCTCTTTGTCATCAGATCCTTGAAAAAAATGTGAATTGATTTTGGTCTCACCTCATTCTCTTTAACAGGGGATTCTTCCCAGTGGCAGTAGGCTTCATCAGACGAGTACCTGTGCTCGGGTCTTTGCTCAGTTTACCAGGGATCAGCACTGTAAGTATCATGTCGACCATTAAACCGTGCAAACTGAACATGCATTTAAATTATTATACGTAAAACATGTTTGAGATGGATAATTCATCACAAATAATATTTAGCCACTTCTAAAGTGTGTGAATGCAGTTAAAGCACTTCAGAAAAACTGGGTGTACAATATGATGCAAAGGCTTTTACTGAAATGTGAGCTCTGACAGTCTCCCTCTTGTGTCACGTAAGAACAGTGTCTCTGTTGTACTGAACTCAGCCTCATGGGATGTTGTCTGTGAGGCCTTCATAGGTTCATAAAGACAGTCAGTATTCGGGATCAGTTCTCTGGTGTATACGGTGCACTGTATTTACTGTACTGTATTCAGCACACTAAACATTTTACAAATATGGTGCTGTGAAATTTATAGTTAATTTTCTCCTAAAAAGATGCTTGAATAGTCGTAGTCAGAAGTGTTTGTAGTGAAGACACAGATACAATATCTATCAGAAAATTAATGCATACGGAGGTCTGCATAACATTTCTATTTTCTTAATAACTATATATATATATATATATATATATATATATATGATATGCTGCACTTAAAAACATTTTTGTTTAACTTCATTGTGTCTCTCCCACTTTTGAATGTAAACCTAGACCTTCACTCCTCACCGATATTTTCCTCTGAGCTTTAAACTTTGCATTGAATATTTTTTATCTGGCTCTGTATAAGTTGTAAAACTTTCAGCTCATAAATAACCCTTGATTCTTTTCTTTCTCATTTTCAGCTGGTGGACAAAATTGGCGAGAGCAACACTATGGTATAAGAGTGGGCTGTTTTTGTATTGGAGGAGAGTTTCAGTATTTATCATAGCTTCTTATAGTTACTGTACATTTTGGTCATTGCCACTCCAGAACTGTGAACCCAAACAACTGCACATAAGACACAAGTTTATTTGTGGACATTTGACTGACATGAAGTTTCCTCTGTCGGAAGGAAATTGTTTTGTATGTAAGTGCCACTGGACAAAGTTACCAAGAGATTTTTTATTTTAAAGGCTGGAAGCAGGTCTCCCTCTTTTGTATCATTCCAGTCTGATATTTATGGACTAATAATTTGGGACCACTGGATCAACTCCTCGGGGTGGTAGGGACCTTTTATAGCCTCCACTCCTTCAGATTGTGTGCCTCAACAGTCACTGAGAGCATTTTTGAGTTCCTCTATGAAGTGTTACTGGAATTTTGTACATCAAAATAAAGAAGGTTGAGCTAAATGTTACTTAGGCAAAGAAACCTGAACTGTTGTGTTGTGGAAAAGGTTTAAGAAGCTTGTCATGGAGATGTTTTACTGTAACTTTTGTACGTGCATACTTGAAATAAAGTGTGTCTTTTATACATTTGTTGTATATTTTTGCTGCAGGGATTGAAGTTTTGAATATGTCACCAAGGATAATTAATTCCAGTGGGCTGTAATTAATGTGCGACTGTTTTCCCCTTTTTACCCTTTAATTAAACAGTTTGAACAAAGGTATGTATTTATTTCACAAACTTTCTGTTGCCCAGCGGTGTGCCCAGTGTTTAAAAACAATACTTGAGAGTTTCATTTGTTTCATATTTCCAATGAAATATCCATTTGTTACTCCATTGTTCTTCATGGTCTTGTTCTGTTTCACTGTACATTTACAACAATAAGTGAATTAAGGGGCCAACTCACCTGGAAAATGTCACTGAAAGAGACATACCAGCTACAAAGAGACACAAAACATTATTACAAATAGACTAAACAACCACAAAGAGACACAAAACAAACAATAACGAAACACAATCAAAGCAGTTGTTTTACTTCTCTTCATGGTCATTTCATTTTGACTTGCTGAACTTGCAGCACAGCAAATGTGTGCACACACATTTTTACAATTCATGTCACCTCTCTAAAATCCTAATGACTGGTTCAGATATTTGGGTTAAATCAGGGATTTGTTTAAAACTTGCCTGCCAGGAAAACTGGAGAACTCCATTCTCTTCTTTTCAATCAAGTCATTTCTTTGCTCTGATGTTGTGATGTCAAACAGATCAGCGTCTGGCATTTTCATTTTAGTGATGTAGTTTTTTCATAACGTCTCTTTTCAAACACAGTTTTGATGGTTTTTCTGCCTCAGCAGCTTTTCTATTCAACTGCTGATCCAACACACCTACAGTATTTCTGCAAAACACCACTAGTGTTAGTTTCCCACTGAACAGCCAGTCTAAACCCTTCAGTGCTGGAACTGCATTACTCATTGATGGTTAAGTCTGAGATCTTTTTATCCAGGTGTCTTGCTCTTGCTGTAAGTAGGAGGCGTTAACAGGCCCATTGTCTTATGATAAGTGTGGGCTGTATCTTAAAGTGTACAGTGGTTACTTTATGACACGTAATGACAGGTGCAGCTTTTTTTTAGAAATCATCAACAAGTTCACCAGCCTCAGGCCTCCTGCATGTGTCTACACCCACATACAAGCTGTCATCACATCAGCTTCATTCATAAAATCTCACCAGTGTCGTCATCATGTGGTGACCTGGTTAGGAGACTCCTGCTGCTGATCATGAGTCTGAAAAGTTTAGATCTCTCTCCTGTGTCTGTGATTAATGAGCAGTGACAGTTTTAACAGCACCTGTCACTCTCGTCAATTGAAATATTATGTGTGATGTCATTAAGCTACCGATCAGCCTCATCACTGACGCTGATAATGAGGTGGCTTGCTTTTTTGTTTATAATGTAAGAGCAGTGACAAGGACGAATCACAAATCAAGAATTTAAACACAAACTGCAGCCTGCAGGGGAAAATACAATTAACGGTAAGCTATTACTAAATCTCATAATTACATTTTCATTATTATCATTATTATTATTATTGTTATTATCATTGTTATTAGTAGTAGTTGTTGTTTTTATTAGTGTTTGTACTATTCTCCATTACATTCAGCAGTCAGAGATTAACTTTACTTCACTTTAAGATTTTGGGAAAAAAAATCTTCTCTAATTCTATAAAATGTCTTTTTCCTTTGGAAAACTTGCATGAATATATGCCAATTTTTAAATTACATTTAATTAACAGAGGAGAGTTTAAATGGTAATAATTTAACTCCAACTATTCAGCATTTACAAGCAGTATGTAAATGTTTAATTAATAATTAGATGTTCTTATGTCAGTTGAAGCTGACAGTGCCAAAAATAATCATAATGAAAAGGTAATTGGAATATTGTTATATATAGCAGGAAGTATTATTATTAATAATGTGCTTTCCTGAAAGGTGGGTGGGTGTAACTGTGTGTAGTGCAACACCTGCTGTGTTTTTGTGTGTTTTGTGAAGTTGATTAAGATTTTTAAAAATGTGGTGAGGTGTGTGTTTTTCATCATTTAGTATTTATATAAAAACATTTTTTAAAATGGTTTATAACACACTATGATGTTGAAGGCAGAAATCATTTTTTAATGTATTTGTTTGACTGTAACTCCCATGGGTCCCCTTAAGTGGAGGCTGGGGTGAAAAGACATAAACACAACTGTAATAATATCAAATGATCCTTTGAGTAAATACATAAAATATCGCAATATAATTTTGTAAGGAAATGTCCACCCACCACTTTTAATGAAACTGAATGTCATTGCAGAGTTCAACGATGTCTCTTATAGTCACGTTGTTTGTGATGACATTGGTTACCCAGTGCTGGACAGCGCCACAGGTGAGTGAAAACTCATTTTTCTTTGGATTTAATCATGAATGTGTAGAAACATCAGTGTGACATAAACCTGTATCGTTTGTATCATTTTTCAGCGGAGAAACTGGACTCCTCAGGCGATGTTATACCTGAAAGGAGCACGTAAGAACACATTCAGAGCAGTGATGAACTGGCTTGTCTTGTCACATTCAGAGGAAACAGTGTTGTATGTCGATCTTTTCCAGAGGGACATCGCTCAGTGTTGGAGCGCACCAGCAGAGAGGAAGATGACACTGTACATTTAGGTCGGTCTAATATGTGCTTCAGCTATAATATGACTTAAAATATTGAAAAAATATATGTTAAATTTCAGTTTCACCATCAGGCAAGCAGGATTAAATTTGACTCTTAAAAGCCTCTATGACTTTCTAATAAGTGACACCTTATAAAGGGTTTATAAGTTATAAGTAATGACTTTATTAATGCTTACTTAATGATTTACCAATCCTTTTTAGATCAGTTTATTGAGGACAACATCTGGGTTTCCGGGACAATTTCATGTTTCTTTTTCAAATGTCTTTGTTCTGCGTCTCCGCAGTGACTCCAGACCAGAGCAGTGGTGGACTGGGGTTGTCTTTGGCTTCATCCGTCCTTCTGGAGCTTCTGCAGCGAGCTGTGGTAAAAGGTAAAACCCCTGAAAGTCATCACCGACACTGTGCCTGACCCTCATCTGTGATATAAGATTTTATTTTCCAGATCTTTCTTTATGTATTTTCTACCTCAGGTGGAGGCACTTTGCGAAATTACCCTGATGAACAAGAGCTGAATTTGAACTATTTGTGAAGTGTTGTCCAAGAAAACTTCTACAACTTCCTCTTTTTTCTTATATTGTTGCATTTTCTTGTATTCATTATGACTTTCTATACGTTACTAGTTGCTGTTTGTGTTTACTTGTAATTAAATGTGCTATAGAAGTAAACTTGCCTTGCCTGTGAGCTGTTACTGTTAAATGCTGAACCATATGTTTAATGTATTCCTGGACGAAAGTGTTTACATTTTCTCCTCCTTAATGAGCAGCTTGCAGCTCACAGCATGTGCTCAGCATGGAGGGGATTTCCTTTTATATTGGTACAACTTGTTAAGCAATTGTCGGAAAAAAAGTCTTTCAGCTTGAAGCAACAATAAGTCATTCTCACCACACAGTGATTAACACCAGGCTAAACACCAACCAGTCAGATGTCATCACACTGTCCACACTGGGGTCACTGAAAGAGGTGGCCCAGTGAGTTTTATTGGGAATGGCAGCTTGACCCAGCCGTGACTGGATCAAACACAGGTCAGCAGCTGACATGTAGAGGAGTCGAGGGTTTAATCTTGCTTTTTAGATCGACATGAAGCTGAATATAGTACATGTGTTTATGTAAGACCCACTAAATTAACAGTTTTCTGTAGAAGCAAGTATTTAATTTTGAAAGATGTTCGTCATATGATAATTACTGACTGGACATTATTTAGTGGTGGTGAGGTTGCAGATCGTAACCAAGTGAATATCCCTCCCCTCACCCTGAAGTGTGTAAAAGAAACTACGGTGGCTGTATGTATCGTAAACACAAGAAAGGCGTTCCCTACAGCCCCTTTCTATGTCATATGAAGAGCTTATTCTAAACTAATGAAAACACAAGGATCCCCCTAAATCTCAGTGACTTCAACTGGGATTTTCACACAACAGTTTCTAGAGTTTTCACTCAGAATGGTGTGAAAAACAAAAAACATCCAGTGAGCGGCAACTCAGTTGATGAGAGAGGTCAGAGGAGAATGGCCAGACTGGTTGGAGCTGACAGGAAGGCTACAGTAACTCAGATAACCACTCTTTACAAACTGTGATGAGAAGAAAAGCATCAGAATGAACAACACCTTGAGCCTTGAGGTGGATGAGCTACAACACCAGAAGACCACATCAGGTCCCACTCCTGTGAGTCAAGAACAGAAATCTGAGGCTGCAGTGGGCGCAGACTCACCCAAACACTCTACAGCTGGAAAAATGTAGCCTGGTCCGATGCAATCATATCAACACGGACCAACATGGACCAGAATCTCAAAGATTCCATGTCACAAAGAACTGAGTCTATGTATAAATTCTATTTTACAGTGGATTTTGACTTCACCACTAAATAACTGAACACATGCACTTCTAATTCAAGCATCAACAAACTTGTTTTATTACACATCAAAGCAACACAAGTGACACGTGGTCCCACACTGCAGCACAGTCGAGGACAAATGAGTCAGAGCAACATTTAACTCAGCTGATCTCACATTTGGTCTCCAGCGAGCAGAAGTGAACAAACTCTGACATCTACAGCTAAATCTGACAGGACTAAATCTCTGTACGTACGCCTGTGACTCTACAGAGGACAGTGGGTTGAAGGTGTGGAAGGTGGAGCTGTCTGGTTTTAGTGACTGCAGAGTTATAGTAGGCAATAAGCAGTCATGAAGGTGCAGCTATGTCGCACCCTGCTGGTCAGTTAGACGTCCTGCAGGTCCTTCTGGATGTCCCAAAGCGTGTTGGCACTGGCCTGCAGTTGGGCCACCTCCTCATCTGTCAGGGTCATGTTGACCACACTAGCCACACCCCCGTTGTTCAGCACGCAGGGCAGACTCAGATACACCTCATCGCTAATTCCGTACATGCCCTGTTGATGGACACAAAACACTGTCTGTATGAGAATATAAACATCTATAAAACCAGAGATGTGATCAGAACTGCAAAAAATTATTATGCCCATATTCAAAATGAGTGAAAAAAGGAAAGACAATTTGTTATTTAAGGCATGAATTAAGTGTGATTATTACTTAACATAAATTTTAAATGTGATACTTGTAGAAATAAAATGATTGTGCCCAGAGGTTTGCTACTAAGAACTTGTTTTATGAAAACTAAACCTGAACTCAGAGAAAAAAAAGTCAGTTTTCATATTCAAGCCATCATAATAAATGTATAATAATAGGATTTTGTTTTGTTTATGAGCACAAACATTTTAAATGTATGCATTAAAGAACAATCTTTGCTGTTACTAGTCTTTTTACATTAAAATTACAATTACAAACATTATTTGTTGTAAGTTCATGAAAGCTTAAGGAAAAGCTATAGCCTGTCTTATGTTAAAACAGCCATGTGTGTGCAAATCCAAAACAAGTTTTAGAAGGATGAATGTGTGTGTGTGAACATCTTTTACCTTCACCATGGTGGAAACAGGATGAATCCTGTTCATGTTCCTCATGAGGCTCTCTGTCAGGTCAGCTACACTCAGACCAATGGCCCAGTTGGTGTAACCTTTCAGTTTGATCACGTCATAAGCACTGAGAGACACACGGACACAACGTAAAACACCAAGAACTATGTTTGGACTTAGGTCTGTTTAATGTTGTGACTTCCTACTGTTAGTTGATTTGAACAGTAATAAAGAAATGATTTGAGGTGTTAAAAATAAACTCAACACTCTAAGAAGCAGATTTTGCCTTGTGTTGTCCTCTACACAGATGAAAGAGACAGAGAGGAGAGATGAATATGTAATTTATGTCTGAACCTTGAATATCAGATGATCTCACATTTCAAATCTAGTTTCCAGAAAAAAAGTCTTATTTTCATACCAATATAATGCTAGTTCATACACATGACCGAGGAGGGAAATATGGATCCAATTACATTGTTACATTTTCATTTTCACTCTGTTTTGATGTGACTATTATTATTCAAAGAATCAGATCATATAAAGTTTAATTAATGTGTAATTCCACTGAGACAAATTATTTTTACAATTTTACTAGAGTAAGGTATTTTAAAAAAAAATGCTAAAAACTATACAGATTTACAATTATGATTATTTAAGGTCTAAGTTTTGATTAAATTTTGAGTTCATTGTGATATTATCATTCATTTAGACACTAAAACAGTTAACCAAAATATCTAGATATGAGTATTTGGACAAAATATGATTACATTGTTCATCAAGGAAATGTGAACAACTCAAGTGAATTATGGTCTACCTGTCCACCACCATTTTGTGGGTCTCCCTCCAGTTCTCTTCATCACAGTCAGTGCCAATGTCCGGGTTTAATGTCTGCAGGTTGACTCCAGCTACGTTTGTTCCACTCCACACAGGCACTAAAACACACGTTGAAACCATCACCCTCCTTTTATAAACTTCAAACATGATAGTGCTACTTTCTTTGTGCTTGCTCCCAGGCTGTAAGTTCAGAAGGCTGAAAAAACACAAATACCACAAATCCTCACCGCTGGTGTCTCCATGTTCTCCCAGGATCCATCCGTTGAAGCTGCTGGGGTGGATTCCCAGTTTGTCGGCCATCAGGAAGCGGAAGCGGGCTGAGTCCAGGTTGGTGCCGCTGCCGATGACGCGGTGCTTGGGAAGGCCGCTCAGTTTCCAGGTCACATAAGTCAGCACATCCACTGTTGAAGAGACTTGTTAGCACTGTTGTCTTTGTGTGAGAGACAAAAGACAGAGTGAAGAAATGTGTAAGGCAGCACCTGGGTTGGAAACCACAATGATGATGCAGTTTGGGCTGTATTTGACGATCTGAGGGACGATGTGCTTAAAGATGTTGACGTTTCTCTGGACGAGGTTCAGTCTGCTCTCCCCCTCCTGCTGACGCACTCCAGCTGTCACCACTACAATGCGCGAGTTTGCTGTCACAGAGTAATCTGAAAGAAAAAAAGGAAGGAGGTAATTTGTTGTAAAGGTAAAGAAGGTAAAAGCTCTGTCTTCACTTTCAGATTCCAATCCATCAAATCAAACATGATTCACTGATCATCTAAAGGTACAGGGGTTTGTACCTATAGATGATCAGTGAATCATGTTTGATGGATAAAAACCAGACCGTTGTTTCATTTTTACAGGTACACAAAAGTGGTCAGTGCTTGCCGGCCAGCTGCACTCTGCAAACACCTGAACTGTGTTTTATCAGACTAAGATTGCTAAGATTTCCTTTCATGGCATGTCTATGAGCTTGCCTTTGTCTGCCACGATTTTTGGGGTTTTGAGGAAGAGGCTGCCGTGCTGCAGATCCATCATCTCTCCTTTCAGCTTGTCCTCCATCACGTCCACCAGGGCCAGCTCATCAGCCAGCTCCTGCACACATCCGGGACACAGCATGCTTCACCTCACAATAAACTCATTCAGCAACATCAGATCACAACTACATAGTTACTTGCTTACCTAACCTTGTACCTAGCTACTGTGCAAGTAGTGACCTGCTTTACATAGATATACATGTAATGAGTGTTGAAATGTAGGTAAAGGGATTTATCACTGAGTATTGAATCTATGATCTGTGATTTAAATTAGGGTTCACCATTTTTGAACTTGTTTTTGTATTGATTGCATTAGTTATATTGAAATGTGGAAATTAGCTAGTGGCTAAAATGTAATACACTAAACTAGGTAATCACTGTTGTACAGAAGAAGATGCTGCCCAATTTCAGCTCAAGAACAGCCAGGCTGAACTGCTTTTGTAGGAAATAACTGTATGTTTTGCCTTTTGATGACACATATGTTTCTCTGCTATTGTCACCACACCTTCACAAGGACAGTGCGGGGATAACACCCAGATCAGACACCAAGAGATCAGTAATCTGGTGTCAGTCTCGGAGGATCCTGGGTATTACCCCATCCTGTCACACCAGCAGGAAGCAAGGTAATCTGAGCAGAAGCAGAACAGGGGCAGGGCTCTTACCCTGAGCAGTATGCTGATAGCACAGGCCATGCCAACCTGGCCCACGCCAACTACTGTCACTTTATTCTTGGGGGGCTCAGGGGGACCACTGAACAGCGGGGTGATCAGTTTCTGCAGGATTGAGGCCATTTTAAATGCTGAGGAGTGTAAATGAAAGAAGAAATAGAAGAAAACAAGAGAAGAGTATTCCTGGTCAGATATACAGTGTATGTTAGTTGTTTATAAGTGATAAACATTTCAGACAGACACACCCGAGGCAAACAGTCCTGCAACCAGAAAGCCGGCTTCGTGCTCAAACTTCATAAATACTGCATTCAGGATGTAGCATGTTATAGTCAAGAGTGTTGAGGGATTACAAATTAAGCCTGACTTTTATCTCAGTAGCACCAATGGAAGCATCACTTCTCTGACATCTAGATCCCTCACAAGAAAAAAGAAAACACACTGACTGAGCTCTGTCCTCCACATTATCCTTCTGCAGAGTTCACCTTCAAAAGACACGTAGCCAGACACAAAAACAGCAGCAATACTTGCATTGTTGGGCGATGCTCCGAGCTGCAAGGTATAAATACCACCATGTAATCAGCATGGCAAACTGAATGAATACCTAAGGTGTGTTTCCACAGAGCTGCGTACCCCCTGCATCCACAACACCTCCCACAGTCACTGTTTGTACAATCCAGACAGTCGAGGCAGGTATCCGGTCAGCTGCAGCAGTAGCACAGAGCACATGTGACTCAGGGCCAGACCGGGGAGCTGTGAGCTGAGAGCTGCACAGAGCTCCACTCCTCCCCTGTCCTCTCCCTCCACCCTCCTCCCCAAATGGAGGATGGAGCACTATAATCGGATGCCAAACTTGACTGACTGACTGCAGACTGTTAAAGGAGTTAGTGTAATCCCTTAACGCTGCCTCCATCTGCTGCACCTGCACAACAGATGAACATTAACCTTGTATCTAATAGGATGTCTCTAAAGAACAATACCAATTGATTTCTATTTTCTATTATTATTGATATATTTAATAATTTATGATTCCCCAATTCTCCCTCTGAGATAAGCACAGTGTAATGCATAAGCTATTATTACAACTATAATGATACCATCGTTACATAGTGATATCCAGAAACAGAATCTGAATTATATATGATTTAGTGGCCAATGAATATTTTGCTGTATCATACATTTGGGAATAGTTTGATACAGGATGCTGCACATCGTAAGTGAAAAGCATATGGTACTGATACTAAGACATCTGGATAATTAACCCATCTATAAATGAGGTAAAAGACTCAGTGTATAAAGACCCATTGAAAGTGCTTCGGGGAAAACTGTCCATTCATTAGCCCCATGAAACTGGATTACCAAGAGAAAGCACTGTGCACTCCATGCATGTAAACATGAGCGGTTAATGAGGTGGCTTAGCCTGCAAGGTCACAGGGGGACAATGGTTTTCCTGACTTATCATTATTTATTATGTATGGTTGGTACCTGAATGATCAAACAACAGGAGTATCATCAGATCATTGGCTTTTTATGCAAATGTTGTAGAAAAGACAGCTGTGTAGGGACCTGTCGAATGTTCGTATGTGACAGAGAAGGTTATGTCGCACTTGAACTTGAACACAGACAGTTGGAGTTCAACTGTTTGAATACGGTGCAAAGATAATTATATAACTGAGGCAAGCTGGTATACTTACTGATAAAGCTGCACATTAACCTGTAGTGTAATCTATAAACATTTAATAATTCTAAATTCCTATGTTACATTTTAAAAAGATTTATACTATAGGGACAATACAAAAAATTGTCTAAAAATTGTAACTTTGGCTTATTTTTTGAAAATGTAATCTAATTCTTTTAGGTTTTATAGGTAATTATTTGATGAGCCACAAAGTTCCAGAGAAAAGTACATCTCAAAGAAACAACCTGCCCCCCTCTTTCAAAAGAAACCTACACATGCTATACCTGAATGGCTATGGTATTAATGTTTTAATTTTCAATTTGTTGTTCTTTATAGTATAGAAAGACAGTATCCTTTCAGTAATGCAGATGATGATTCTGTCAGTGCATCTGGAGATAAACAAACATCTGTAAAAACAACTGTCAACAGACCCATGTATATACTGTTGATAAACAGATTGCAAAAATAAATGCTACTTGCAGTTCTATATGGGCTGATCTGAGCTGAGCATGTTCAGTTGTTACAAAATTACAAAACTTTCTCCACAAAAAGACAAGTTCAGCATAAATGTAGATAAATATAATCCCCCTCAAAGAAACAAATTCAAACTCAGTCTAGATCCGTCTGCTTCCATCAGATTTTTCAAATCTACACAATATAAAAACATGGCTGTTCACCTGTTGTCTTGAGGGTCCGGCTACTTTATATACAAATTCTTGTCGTTTCTCCAATGCTACAATAGGACTCACTCTTGGAGTGTTGTGCTGTGCGCCTGCTCCTCTTCCTGCTGTGCTGTCAGGCTGCAGCCTACTGGATTTAATTGACTAAGCCTCTCCATCCCCTTCAAAGTCTCAGTTTGGCACCACAATGGTCACCTCAGTCAGCTGGTACAAGATTCAGAAGACAGATAGTAAAGAAAAACAGAGACGGTTAGAAAACTGGTCCACATACCACATTTAAAAAGGTTGTTAATAACATATCAATAACATAAATCACAATTATGATTACTGTTTATTATCATATTATTATGCTAAAAACTAGTTAAGGTCCAGTGAAGGGCCACTGCAGTGTTTTGGCTGAGAAGGTTGTTTCACATTAAAATTACACCTGCACTTGAAACGATCTTAGAGCACGACTAATGCAGATAAAGACACAAACATGACTATACAAGACAGGTAACTGATTAGCTGTGAAGAGCAGCTACACTCAAGATTGCTGTTAGTCTTATATTAAATACAAACAGGTTATTAGTATTTACTAACAATCAGCCAGTGATGTTGTCCACCTCAGTTATGGAAAAGTTCCTTACTAACATTTTTTTCATTTACACTTATTTGAAATTTGTTTTTGTTTCTCTAGAAACTCCAGTAAAATGGGCTACACTCAAGAGCTGCTAACCCTCTAGAAATAATATAATTATGATGTGTCTCAATTTAGTGTTCAATGGTCAAAGTAAAATACAGAAAACTATCATTTTATTGTGTTAAAATGCAAAGACTACATTTGCATCTTTCATTAAAAAAATCTTCAAAATCCCAGGTGTGGGCACTTTTTAGTACCTACAAATATACCTGTCCATGGTGGAGAGGAGGTCATGTGGCTCATGTCCTAATGGCACCTAGAAGTTGCTCGACGTCCTGGATCATGTTCTTTATATATGTTTACAATCTCTAAATAATTCTGTGTTCCTGTTCATCTATAATGTAAATCTACTATGTGCTCTATTCTGTGTACACAACATCTAAATGGCCTTCACAGAGCAATAAGGCCACTCTTCTTTGCTCAGCATCTGGGGGGACTCACTAGACAGAGAGAAAGCAAGTCTGCAAAGGAAACCTGTGCACTACACTGAAACACAGCAAAGTATGAGATAGATGTAACAACTGGCACTTGTGTTGATTAATAAAAATATTCTCATATTTAAAGGTTATTTACAGGCTAAATTAAATCTGTAGGAAGTCTGCAAGGCACTTTAGGATGGTAAAAAAAGTTAGCAGTGTTGTCAACTTTAAATTCACTATAAACAGAAGAAACAGAGAGGTATTAATATACACACCCAGCAGCTGCTAATGAGGGCTGCTTCCACAGGGAGGACATCAAGATCCTGATGGGACACAGCAGGTCAAGCTGTAACATTTCAAGGGATAATGGTAGCTACATGTCAGGTGTATAGAGGCCACGAAAACAGAAGGAAAATGAACACGGTAAGAAAACGTTACTTGTTTGGCAAAGCATCTTCAATGACTCCACTCATGGCTATCTTAACGTTAGCTAGCAGTTGTAACATTTAATGTATATAGTTGGGTAAAGCTAAAATACGTTAACCCCTTCCCTCCAGTGTCAGTTTAATACACAAACGGTTGCCGCGTTTAAAGTGAAAGTATTGTTGTACCAAACTCTCCATTGAGCTCAATTAATCAAGGAACATTAAGTTGTATTCAATGAACTAACATTATTTCCACCGTTCTTACCGAAGTAAAGAAGCAACGTTGGTTTAACCGTTTTTTTATCCCAAGAAAAGGAGATGTTCGATTTTTTACGCCCTTCCCGCTGGTTTTGTTCTTTTTGAACGGTAATCCGTCCAGATTGAGGGCCCCGCCCGCCGGGACCGTCGCGGTCGCCGGATTTAGTGCACACCTCAGCTGGTCTGTGAGTAACGTGAAAGACGGTTAACAATTTAAGACTGACCCTATTTAGTATTTATAAGCAGGATATTAACATCTCTTGAATGGTTTGTAACACACTATAATGTTGTAAGCAGCTATACGGACATATTTAGGTTTTAACATACAGTATTTGAAAGCAATTATAATTTATGGCATGAAGTCAAATTTTGTTACTGTAATGTATTTCATGATCTGTTTGTACAGCAGCCTCAACTTCTCGGTGTCTGCATGAGCTATAGTTGTTAAATACGTTTATATGCTGCTTATAAATGCTAAATAGAAGGACTTTAAACTGTTTCCTTTAAGACTCCTGCTGCAATTTTTTTCAAATTATGCATATGCTGTGACCCTCTTCTTGGTAGTTTACTATTTTTGAGGATGTGCCCACCTGCCATTGTTTTCCTTTCAGTTTCTTAGGGTGTTATCACTTTTACAAAAATGATAAAAAGGTATGGGTTGCTTGGGAAAATAATAGCAATGTTAAAGTTGCAATAAATTAATAAAAAAATGCAAAATTACTGGTTTTGTCTTTGACTGATGTCCAGGCAGACCTAAAGAAGACAAAAGAAAAAAATGTCTGGTAACAACCAAGTTTATTTTATGATACACCGCCTACATTATCATAAATAAACAGATTAAAAATCCTTACCCACATAACCCCTGTCATTTCTGTCCATTGTGGGAGAGCTGCCTGATGATGAATCCGTTGTGTTAAATCAGCAAGGTTCAGATTAAGATACAGTATCACTTGCATGTATTACATATTGCTTTCAAATGTTACCTTAAAATGTGCTATAAAAAAGTTGAACACACCGCTTTAGAAAAATATCAAAATAGAAACAAAGATCCCCCAGAAATCTTCCCAACATCACCTTCCAATGAATAAATCCTTGCACCTCATTAACTACAGCGTGTTAATTATGGTAATTTGCACAGGCAGAGGTAATCAAGAGTTCTGAAGAGAATATACTGATTAACTGTCCCAAAAAAGATTTACTTTCTCCAGATCTGCAATGTCTGGATACATGCAGTCAGTGAGGTGGGCTATGTGGGTGCACTGCAACAGCCAGTCCTGCATTTAAGACTGAAGGATCAGAAATCCAACAAAAACAACAAAATAAAAGAAAGCACAACAGAGCACTAAAACCCAAAGCATGTAAACTCATATGGGCACACCGGCAGGGCTGGAAAATCAATAATCTATGATCAAACACTGCAATTTCAGTTTCCTCAAGGAGTACTGGTCAGATAAATGGTAGATTATCAGATGTTAAAAGCTGTTTCATTTAAGATTTTCTGTTTGAAAATCGATGAGGATGATACAAGAGCCAAATGTACAATACATTTCCTTCTGTCTTACAATTCAATGACAGTAAAAATCATGATTACAATACAGACTGACCAGAATTATCAGTTTAGTCATAAACATAGAGCCCCATATATGATGACTCAAGCAGTGATCAGCCACTGGAGGGAAAAAAAAGTTTGTTTTTACTTCAACATGAACGTGGGCTGATTTTCCTCATGCAGTGATGTGACCTGATTACACCACGTGTCTCCTCCCAGCACAGACCACAATAAAAAGGTTGAGCTGAATTGACCTGAGCACCATAGAAATAATGAATCACTCTACCTAATTCTATAGCTACAGAGAAAATTTTGAAATTTATATAGAAACACATGTAGACATTCTGGTATTAGTAGTAGCGCTGCTTTGTGCTTGAAAAATGGGAGGGCACTAAGTGCTAACAGTGTCCAGGCACTTCACCATCAGAAAAACACCTGGCACAGCATTAGAAACTACAGTATGACCTTCAAAAACTATAACCATGCATGAATAAACTCGCCTCTCCATTCTGCACTTGTTTCTACAGACAAGGGTTAAATACACACAAAGACACAAACAATTCACAGATTAAAATCAACATTAAAATTAGTCTCTTCTGACTGCCACAAAAAAGGGTTATCCAGAAGCTACTGTTTGAGTTATACCTCCCTCTTGTGGTGGGAGGAAAGCTGGAATCCAGAGAGGAAAAAGTTTATCATTCCAATTAAATCTATGTCCTTTGTCCAACCATGTAGGAAAAGGTAAGAGGTGAGCCAAGTTTTCTGCTTGAGTTATGGTGTGCTGTGGCAGGCGGCAGGGAGGTGGTGTGGGCATGGCGAGGGACTGCTGAGGGTCTTTACTTCCCACCGCTCTCTGCAGCACCGCTGCTGCTGATGCCCAGGTAAGTGGCTGCGTTGTCCACAGCGCCCTGGAGTGGGACGATGACCCTGTCCAGGAGGCCTTTCAGGGTGTTGATCTGATCCTCATCCAGGTTCTGGTAGGCATAGTAGAGAGAGCCACCCACCACAACAAGAAGCAGGAGTTTGAGCAACATGGACAGGAAGCCTTGTCGGGCTGCGGGTTTGCTCGAAGAGATGGTGCTGCCCGGTCGAGAGAAAGACTCTGAGTAAGAGCGGCTCTCAGTGTGGACGCTGTGCTGCACGCGGGACTCATCCAGCCAGTACTCACTTGGTTTTACAGGTCGACCAGCAGCCCCTCGGATTGGGCGCCTGCAGGTTGCACTGATCAGAGAAACAATAAAATCAATGTTTAGTGCTAATTAACTACCAAAAACACTTAACTAAAAGGTCCAATGTACTAGCTTCTTCCCAAGCTTCCAACCACATCTCACAATCTTCCTCAGCAGGTGACGTTTGCTCAGGTGGTATTGAGACAGCTGTCCCATCTGACCACCCCAAAGTGTATGGGGTAAAGTTGTGGCCCCCATCTCTGTTTGGGGTTAGTCTTTGGCTTCAGATGTGACAGCTGTCTTCATGACAACTGAACAAGCTCCAACAAGTGAAGAAGAATGAAATAAGGTTGGGAACTGTGGAAAAAGCTAGTAAGTGAACCTTGACTTAGGATCAAACTATTGTTCCAAGGTCAACTTTTAGGTTAACATTTTGGTTATCTATTTTTTTTTTTTTTTTTTTTTTTACAATACATTGATATTTGGTAGTATGTGATTTATGTGCAAGTCCAAAAAAATCAAAATCAATTGTTACCTGATGCCTGTTGGTGTGCTTATTTCATTGGCAAGGATATCTTCAACAACACTCTCACTGGCTTTCTTTGGGGTCTCTTCAATAATAATTTCCTCCACCACCACCTGTCAGTGTAATATAAAAACATGTTCATAAAAATAGAAATAACACTCTTATCGCCAAGCTCTGGAATAACAAATTGTACCTCACCTTGGTTTGTCGTCTACTGCTGGTCCTGGCGGTAACTGGAGCCTTCCCTCTGCTCCTCACAGGCTTCTCTACCACAGGAACTGGCTCTGGTTCAGGGGCAGTGATCTCTTCTGAAAAAACACAGGCAATGTAAACACAACAGTGTAACATGGTCATATTAGTACAGAAATCAGTGTTTTTTTCAACATCGAACCTGGTAAATCTTGATAAACCAGCAAGAGGCCGGTTATTTATGTTATTCGTCTGGGCAAGTAGAATGAATTTTACAAAATCATGAGCAGTGTGCTGTCAGAACTCACCATCTTCCTTGTCACTGTACTGGTCAGAATTTGTGTTGCCATTCTGGTTACTGTCCACCTTGGGGAGAGCTGTGACATCTGTAGGAACTTCAGGTTCAGCTGGAGGCTGGTCCAAAAGCTTCTGCAGCTTCTTCTCATACAACTTACGGGTTGTGGCTGAATGGATGGGACAAAGGAATGAAAAGGGGTAAATAAAATGTAACACATTGTTCTTTCACTTCAGCCGGATGCATAGATTTTTTGTTGAAATAAATAACCTTACTGATGCATGCCGTGATATGTGTATTATATTTTTGTGTAAAACCTTATTTCAATGTTCAAATGTGAGCCCAGTTTCATAATCATAATGTCCAAAGTATGAAAAGTGAAGTGAAGACCAGTAGGGATGATAAAGGCCTATTTACTAGTTATTAGCAAATAGACAGAAGAATGGATGGATGGATTAACCCATTAAAACATACTTAATTAACTCCTCCTCATATGATGTTAATATAAAGTCAAAGCCAGGTCTGGAACAATAGTGCTGGGGATTTCCCTGCCAGTTTTTGCTAAAATCACAAACATTTTACACGTAAAGAAATAAAACATTTAACACTTATGTGAATTCAATTTTACACTTTTTTTATACCTTCTTTGTCTTATTTTTTTTTTTTTAGAAAACAATTAAGTTTGATGAACTAGTTGAAACAAAGACAAAATACGTGTTTTAGTTCATGTTCACGAAAATTGCTTTGTTACTATGTTTTCATACGCGCTAAATTAATCAATTAAATTAATAAATATTTCAAGTTTTTTGTGTCTTTGAATAACTAAAATCTAAGACATGCCAACTCACCAACAATGGGTCCCGAGTCCACACCATGCTTTGCCAGCTGTTGTTTTAAATCTTCATCAGTCAGGTCTGTTACTTCCATTTCCTCTATGCGAGGCTTGTCTGTCTTTTTAGTAGCTTTCTGCAGAAAAAAATAAGTTTTATATATCATACAAGCCATAGCTCACACCAATCTATACAGACGACCACAGTTTCACATCAGAGTTATCCACAAATCAAATCCAACTACAATCTATTATGACAAACTAAAACTTACTCTTCCGGATCGACTTTTGTTGGACACCACGGGAGCAGGTAACTCCTCGTCGCTGGAGAAGGTGTCTGCAGGTGGGCTCTTCTTGTTGTTCAATACGGTTAAGTTTTTCAGATACAGCTGCACATACACTTCTTTTTTATGCTCTCCGCTGGGAAGTGGCACATTGTTGGCAGTGAGCTCATTCTTCAGCTTATCTTTCGTGAGAATCGACGGATCTTCGAGGAATTCTGCCATGCTTCAGTTTTCTCTTCAACCGATGTGAGGTCTCTTTTTCTTTTTTGCCGCTTCAGTCGGCAGCTAGAAACAACATCAACAACAGCGGGAACGTGACCGAACGGCGCTGTTGTCAAACACGACTGGCGCCTACCCGCTGCCAATTCAGCTAGCGGGAGAGAAGTGGTTTATTAAAATAAACGTCCAGTTCTGCCTCTTAGCCTAATATTTAAAATATTGACAGGTAGCTTTGATTTTTCGAAAGCAGATACACGCGTGTGCTGCAAATGGAGTTGATGCAAAAGTCAAAACTCACCGGATGTAATGTAACTGAATTAGCTTAGCTTCAAACCGGTCCACTTGCCTCTGTCTGTCCGCGGTCGCAACAAGGCCACACAACAAGCTGCGCCGCTATTGGATGGAACCCCGCAGTACGCCGCACTCTGGTTGGCCGGCTATGAATGGAACAGTCGCAGGCCGCCGCCACAAAGAAACCGCAGGCTGTGTGTTTTAGATAACGGCTTTACACAAATCCGCCACACATTTACACTATTGTCTCAGTTTAGCGACGTTTTATGCATTTTTATGTTTAATAAGTAGACAAAAGCGGGTTTAAACATGTCATTCGAGTTGCATCAAGTGATAAGAGACCAATGTTAATGGCGGTTTAATGGCACTGACTGGTCCCTGCGTTTATACAGATCACTTTCAGTTTGTGAAGCATGTTCATGGCATGAATTTGGTCTAATCCTAAATGGTTAATAACAGTTCGCACTTCATAAAAATAACTTCAGTCATGGCCTGAGTAACCTTTTATGGGTATCTATCTTGTAATTGTAGTATCAGACTTCACAAGTTATAACTTGATATTTGACATTGTAGATTTTTTATAATACTAATAATGTAACATTTTAAAATTGCAGATAAAAAAAAAAACAACAACTATTGATTCCAGGGTTTTAGGGCCTTCCCTATGTTGGGGCCTTGGGTACCTAGTTCCACCATTCCCCTCACTACTAGACTCTTCGTTTTCATATTACATAATATGTATGGAAACTTTAAGACCATTAAGATGAAATCTGTTCATGTAACAGAAGAGGGCAGCAAGAGCCACATTATAGGGTGACTTGAGGAGTCTTATAAAGCACTGATTTTAGTTTCCTCACAAAAAAGGCCTTCAAGGGTATTAAAATGTCTTAAATTTAATTTACAAAACTCTCAAATATTTTCTCTTCCCTGCTTAAGGCATTAATATAAGTTCTAAAATGTTTTTGTGAAGGCTGGATTACCAACTGGGAAAAGTGGAGAACTGCCCTGAGGCCCCACAAATCTCCAGGTTTACTCAATATCATTTGGGTTTGCATAATTAGATTAATCACAGATTTCTTAGAAATTTGCACCAGTGTAAGTACAATATCAACAATGACAGGTTCTCCATCCTCCAACTTGTGGCTCTGGTCTCACTGTTTTAGTCAACAGGGGCCCAACAACATAATGTTGCTGGATGTTTATCTTGCCATGGTTTCTGTATGTATTTGCAGGCTGTCAGGAGACATTATATTAAATTAAATCAAATTGCTTTCTATGTGGTATTTAAGTCTTACATTTCAAAAACCCTAATAATTCAAAAGAAACATGGGGTTGTCTTATTTGAGGTTTCATGTTGCTCAATATCAAGTCAGCAAGAAAACAAACTTGATATAAGGTTATAAAACACAGAAGTTACAACATCGTTCTTCACAGAAAGAAGAAAATGGGAAAGAGGAGTATAAAAGAGGCAGAAGAAGAAGTAACATAATGAATACAAATGAGTTTTAAGATGGTTTTTTGAAATTAGCACTAATTTGGCTTCCCTGAGACTGTTCAAGAGTTGAAGAGCAATGACAGCATCAGTACAATCACTATTAGTCAAATGTGGCAGAAGTCTCAGCACAGAAAATCTGAGGGATCACAGGCCAGACACACTGTTATGTAATACTGAGTAAAGGTTTTAGGCATTTTAGATGTTTTGATTATTAACCATGATGCAATACCATAAGGGAGGCATCTGATCGTTCCTAAATTCATTCTGCAGCATGACAACAACAACTCCAAACATACAGCCAGAGTCATAAAGAACTGTCTTCAGAGACAAGAAAAACAAGGAGTCCTGTAGCATATGTTCTGCCCCCCACAGAGTCAACATCATGGAGTCAGTCTGCGATCACATAAAGAAACACAAGACACTGAGACAGACTAAACCCACAGAACAACTGTGACAAGTTCTCCAAAATACTTGGAACAACAACCTATCAAGTACCTTGAAAAAGTGCACACAAGTGCAACAAGAAGAACTGGTTTTAAAGAAAAAAGGTGGTCACTCCAAATATTGATTTAGGTTTTTTAACTTTTATACAGTAGTGTATCAATAGGACACAAAAAGAAAGAATAACAAAAAAGGACAAAAAGTGACGCAATCATCGGACGAAGTCATAGACGAAATAGGTTCTAGCTTCTCTAATAGGAAAACATGCTTTTCTCCGTTTTACGTTACTGCATATTGAATATCTTTACACTTTGGACCGTTGGTTGGACAAAACAAGACATCAGCTCGGGCTGTGGGAAACTGAGGCCTGTAGCCTGATAATCAGAGTGAACTGCCATTATTGAATTGCTGAATAAATATGAGATGTGGGCAGCAATTTGGAGGTCTGGAAGCAGGCTAATTTTTCAGTATTTACTGACATCTTACAGGCTAAACAATCAATCATTTAATCAATAATGAATATAATCTCTAGAAACAGCTCTCCACACATGGCAGTGTGTGACCACGTCTTCACTTTCTTGGATCTCTGGGCATGCTGGTCTCTAACTCTGTGGTGTCCCCCCTTCCTGCCGTGGGGACAGTGGTTTGAGGTGGCACTGTGTGGCTCCCCACCTGTCCTTCAGACCTGCTTCTGTGGGGCTTTCTGGGATGCTGCTGCAGAAACCAAGCAATTGATCCCCACCTCAGCTCCAAACCACACTAAAATACAGCACTGGAAGAATAGTTCAGCTTTTCCGTAGTGGATTTGCCAAAGGAGTGTAAGCGTAAAAAATGTTGAGCCCTTGAGAAACACCTCTTAAGCTTTCTTTGTATGTAATTTATACAGAAAATAAGGCTCAGGCCAAGAATCATAGAGAGTGCCTCTTTAAGCATAACAGTCATGGCCTCTGAAAAATGATCAAAGGCTGCTCTTTAATCGTCAACATTCACATTTTCTTGACAGATTATTGTAAAACAAATCTAGAGAACAAATGTAACAACTGGCAGGAAGACAGAAAACAGTTTATGAGAATATAAAGGCCAGTGTGGAGTTATATCAAGACAGTTGTGTTAACAATTGAATTGTTAAATGTTATATGGTGTTTGGAAAAGAAGACACGTTTCAAACGAACACAAACTCAAACATCTGTGTTCTAAAAGTGGATTTCTGATCACTTAGAAAAATGTTGAACACAAACTCCTTGGTCGAGTTTATCTTGGATTTTAAGTATTTCTAAATCCCAATTGAGCCAACCACAGAAGTAGCTTAGGAAAAGTCAACCTTTACCACCCAGAGAATGTCTGATTCAATTCTACTGACACAACAAAACACATACTTGTGAAATTAATCAACGTTATGAAATTTCAGCACACTGTATGATCATAGCCCTGTCATCTCATGGGCGCACATGTGTTGCTTGGTCCAGACAGCCAGCTGTATGTTTATTTTATTTTATCTTTTTTTTTTTTTTTTTTTACAAAATTCACACATTAAGATTTCTCCATTACCAGAGCATAAACAAGGTCTGTTTTCCTGCACTAATCTAGCACAACAATCCCTAATCCTCAGAGGATGTTATTACTCACTGCCAAACTAATTAAGATCAAGTCCTGGGCAGTTTCCTGTACAAAAAGGAGGGTAGGATGCGGGCAGCAGGAACAGTGTATTTCACAGAAGTTGAGATTTGTGTGTCCTGGNAAAATTCACACATTAAGATTTCTCCATTACCAGAGCATAAACAAGGTCTGTTTTCCTGCACTAATCTAGCACAACAATCCCTAATCCTCAGAGGATGTTATTACTCACTGCCAAACTAATTAAGATCAAGTCCTGGGCAGTTTCCTGTACAAAAAGGAGGGTAGGATGCGGGCAGCAGGAACAGTGTATTTCACAGAAGTTGAGATTTGTGTGTCCTGGCCTAGGAACAGCCATCTAGTAGTGCTCACACAGTATATTTTCATCTGTTGACAATCCAAACTCTACTTAAAGGACACACACTTAGTTGTAGACATTTCTGTCAGAAGGAAAAATGAGACTGCCTCTCTGGCCCTTGTTGATGCCCATTTGGCCACCTGCCTATTTCTATCATAGGTACTACTGCATTATGATTTGAGCTTTTCCTGTTTTATTTGGCTATTGAGTACAGAGACACACTTGCTCATGTCCTCGCTGAACTTCAGGCAAACATTACTGTGTGTGAACTTTCATGTAGTGAATGAAGAATTTCACCCATTGGACGTCATGTTGGATCATTTGGGGGAAAACTTAATGTAGGCCATCCATCTCCTCAAAATGTAATGCATTGACATTAAAGGATCAACACAAATTTGATCTGTTAGAGCCACCGAAAGTGGCGCTTCTGCAGCAGCTGTTGTGACCACTGCAGATGCACTAAGATCCAAAGGAGTTTCACCGCTGTACATCTTTTATCCACTTCACAATTCACTAGATCAAAGACAATATGAGCATTGTTAAAGCTGCTATAATCAATATTTAGATTTTATGTTAATAGTGACGACACAGAGAATTATCACGTGAGCCTGCAGTTCCCCTGAGCTCTACAAAGTTTTGAGTCGTTTTTCTGCCAATCCAAACTGACACTGGGTGAAAGGTGGGGTACACTCTAGACAGGCCGCCAGGCTATCACAGGGCAACATGCTAACAATTTCCCCAAATCAACTTTATAAGGTGATGTCAATGTTGTGTTTATAGCTTGTTTTTGCTGCCCCCAAGTGGCCCAAAAAACAAAAATAAAACAAAACAAAACAGTTATTGTGGGTTTTAGTAGAGCCTGTGCTAATGAGCTACTGTGCGCCGAACGCAATAGCCAACCTTATCCAAACAGAAATTTATCCACTGTCTCCAAGCACAGACCTGGTGATTCAGGAACTCAGGTACTTCAACAAGTGAGGAAATTTCTTTCCGCCAACACAAGCAGCAAAGTGAAAATTTTCTTAGTTAAGAGACAATGACAGTGCAGTGCAATATAGTGTCAAAAAACTCATCCAATTTTTAAGATTTCAGAAACCACATATTTGACTCAACTCATGGGTCATCACCAGGCAGGCCTTTTCTTACATGCCTGACACG